AGTTTGTTAATCGGGTTTCAATCAACAGCGCCGGGTCGAAATTGTTTATTACCTTGTGTAGTATGTCGTTGTTTCTGTCATCACCAGCAACAAAACAGACGACGACGTTGTGTTCGATTTTACTCACCTTCAACTTGTCGAGCAGCTCGAAGAGAAATTGCATTGGAACGACTTGTTTGATCTGGTCAAGACGTGGAATGTCCGCGAGACATGACACGACGAAAACCACAGCTGCAAAGAAAAGCCTCACATTCATCAAGTCGTTTTTACTTGGCAGTCCCAAGAACGGAAGAATAACAACCCCGACATACAAAACAACGTTAAGCCACTGTCTTGTGAGTGGGTGTGTTCTGCAATAGATCACAATTGTTTTCTTCATTGGGTTCAAAAAATCGCTGTTGGACAAAAATCCGCACTCTGACGAAAATGGCACCAAATATGTCTCCATCCGTTTGGGGTATATTTTTTTAAGACACCACTCAAGCGCTCGGGTTTGTGATTCCAATAGTAATAGTACCGAAAACGTAGCTGTGAACGCAAGGTATATTTTTCTGTCAAGAATGCCAAACAAAATACTGAAGGCGAAGTATACATAGAAATATTGTTCGACATAAGTCCGGCAATGTGGGAGAACTGTTGTGACAGCCTGGTAGTCGAACCCACGCTCGACCAACTCACTTTCGACAAATGTAGACCGTCCGATAAATCGTTCGACAAACATTTTGAGACTCATTTTCTGTTGATTATTGCGTCATAAATGTTTGGTCGTTTCGAATAAATCAATCTCACTTTGTTATTTTGAATCATAATAAGATTTATAACATATTTATTATATTTATAATATTTAATAGTTTTTCTTTTTAATGACAATAATAATTGTGTTATATATAACAAATTTGAAAACATTCACAATTTAACTATTATTTATTAATATTTAATTATGATAAATATCGTTTATTTAAAAAAAAAATTTTTGTACATGTAAATAATAAAATATTAAAAAATAATAATTTATTAAGAGAAAGGATGGACATGGGGACGAAGGACGGGAATATAGGCCGAAGGACGTCCTTTGTGGTTTAGGGACGTCCTCCCGCTATAAAGGGCGTCCTTTATGTGTATATGGTGTCCTTTAAATTATTTTCGTGTCCGCGGCATTT